TCTTCACTGGGATCTGTTCAAACAGTCGTGCGATGTTGTTTCCTGGTTTCGCTCTCGTGTCCCCGAAGATAATGTTTCCCATTTGGTTCTGTGGTTGTTTCTGTCACCAGATCTTCGTATTGGACTCCATTTCGTACAGTGTTGCATGCCAGCAACAAGGTGGTGATCGGTTGATAGCTCTTCGCGTCTCTTAATGTGCGAACATCCATTACTGAGCGTCTTAAGTCAGACGATACGATTATCAAATCGATCATCGACTTCTGTGCATAAGCTTCTCGGTACCAGGTGTACTGATACAGCTTTCGATGCTTGAAGAAGGTTTTCATAATGAACAATCCGTTGTTTGCACAAAACCGCAACGACGTCATGCCGTTATTGTTGACGTCGCTGGGGCCGTTCTTTCCAATCACGCATTTCCACTACTCGGTCATGCGCGTTAAAATCGCCCATGAGTATGATGGACTCCATATTCGACACTTCGTACAGAGCACTCTCCATTTCCTGAAGGATAGAATCATATTCTCCCTCTAAGTTGGGCGCATAGACCTGTGACAATTTCATCGCTTTAGCCTGTTGTATCTTCAGTCGGAGGCCAGTCACCCTTACGCTGACAGGCTTCCAATCAATGATTCTGTCAGCGAGGTTGGGTTTTACCAGGACAGCAACACCTGCCAGAGCGCGCGTCGTGATATCGACACCTGCGTAGAACAGCGCCGATCCGTTGAGGTTCAGGAGTCCAGAGCCTTGTCGCTTCGTTGACGAGAGTCTAACAGTGTAGAGTTGGTGCTTTAAGGCCTCACCAACTAACTGTTTCTCTTTCCCTCTGAGTGAGGATATATTCCAATTTCCGACTGTAAGCCCCCACTGGCGGTGTCGTTCCCGTGGAGCCTTTTCTAGACATGTTATAATGGCATCGCGCTGTCTGCCTCCTCCGTTTAGAACGAATGGGGTCTCCATCGCTGACTGATATCTTCGTCGTCGTTCCGTCGGTCTTCGTTAGCCATTGTTGTGCTGCTACGCCCTCGGCTCTCAGAGGGCGATGAACAGGTTCTGATCGCCGACTTTTCGGAGCCTGCCTCAGTGCTCCAACCGCCTGTGCGGCCCTTGGTATCCCAGGTGGCGACGGAGCCGATATAATGCTGAATGACGTCAGTGCTGTGAAGGGCAGATGGCAAAATTTTACTGAGTCTTCGCCACGGTCTGCAACCCTCGTCCTTTCTCACCTGGACGTGGGACCGGCAGCGGCGTAGTTGTGTCCATCCCGATGCCACTTCAAAATTATCACTGGTGCAATGACAGTAGAATGTAGTTTTTGCTCTTGTTAATTCATTCTTCTTACCGATTTTTGTTGCTGTTTCGAACATGCATATTTTCATGCTACGTTCGTAGTGCGCGGTTTATGAATAGCTTTCCAGTTTTGGGTCTAGTTTAGCATCGATAGGTTAGCATTGAAAACAGACACGCTGCTATCACAGTAGAGTTCAGTAATGTGTCTGCTGTCGACCGAGGGCGATGTTTTCGTGTACCCTGCGTTTGGACTCAAGCAGAAGTACCTAAGCGGTGCTCCATTCACAGACTACTTAACCCATTCAGTGTTGTATACTCGAAGCACATCCATCGTTTCTATTTAGTCGTTATTCTCTCATGTATGATCATCTGATGTTACAGTGCGTCTTTGTGGTTACTCCTGCTCCTCGTGTTTCTGGTCATCGCCGTCGTCGTTCGCTGGCATCATCGGCGACCGGACACAGTCGTGCATATGCGTGTCAGTGCTCAACTTTCGTTGCATGCTATAGAATAGCGCTCGTTTTCGCGTGTGAATTTCGTTTGTGCCGATGGCGATTGAATCTTTGTTGTTCACGAGTTGACGAGCCAACGAACCGAATCTCATTGAAGAAGATTAAAAATAGTGGTTATTACGTTACATAGAATAACCCGGCGCAGAGGCGCTCCTGCAAAACATTTGTTTCTTGTATATGGCGATACTTTTCTTCGACGGCCAGCCATCGGTCGAACAGTTTTTTACATTGTAACAACCGCCCCTGTTTCTCAGAAGCAAAACTCCCCGTATGATGTCCACGTTGGTAGAGAACTGTCGTCCTGATTGCGTCAACGATTGTTTCAATCTGGACAAATGACCAAAAGTAATGTTTTTCTGTTGCGGCGTATTTACAAACGCTAATATCATTATTAGACAGAATTTTTCAAATACTAGCTATTCTTGTCATGAAGAATATTACTTTTCTATCTGTTTTTTGTCCGTCCGGCAAGGGTAGATGTCACTGTAGAATTTTTTCACCTGCTTTCCTGGGACAGAAGTTACTACTTCTATTGGCTTTCCCTTTGTGTTTATAGTGACAAATTCCTTCTCACAGACAGACGTTTTTAAATTCGTAAACACATTTCTCGTCTCCGGTTACCAAAGCCTTGTCAGTGAACCGTTTTGGAATTCATAGCAGTACAGGACGGCTCGTGAAGCGCAGTTTTGTGCCGTTTTTGAAGTATTGCCTTCTTCAGGGTAAGAAGATCGCAATAGACGTAGTCATTCGCAATGTTAGACGACAAGCGTTCGTTGCGGAATGCGGTACGAAGCTCGTATCACCCGTGCATTGTTTTTGTACGTTGTAAGATTGGATAAGTCCCGTCACGTTTGTTGCCTGTGACATAGGAAGGCGAGAGCATTCGAATGTCGATCAGTATTGGAGCTTTTTTAAACACCCTTCTTTCATGGAGCATATTATATGCGGCTGATCTCCTTTTCTACTCCATTAGCCAAGACTGCATTCATAACGAAGATAATTGCTCTTTCTGCATGCTAAACAAATACGTAGCGTAGAACTTTCTTACAGCATGCATACAGTGGTGCTCATTTGTCTGCTTCGTAAGGGTGAAAGGCTACTGATCTGTCCCGATCTGAAACTCAATTTTTTAAACTGTGAATCTCTTGCCTTACTGAATTACCACGCCTGTCGCTAACGAAC